AGGATTATTATGGGTTTAGAGCCTATAAATATATATGGACGTTTTACACAAAGGCAATGAAGTATATTGAGTTTTCTTCAGCTTATGCTAGCTATGGTGAGTGATTCCCATGCCCTAGAGTGATTCTAGGCACCCTGTGAGTGATTCCAGGTATTTTCCCTCTTCTTTCCCTCCCTATTTTCTCTTTTATTCCTTCAAGAATCCATTACAACCATCAATAGCTCTGATCAAGAAGACGATTCAACATTCTCGAAGGACTAGAACTGAGCTGGTCCTACATCAGTTGGTATCAGAGCTAATGGTTTATTCACTATGTTCTCACAAATTGACCGATTCTATAGGCCTAGGGTATCTTCTAAATAATCTTACAGGTCTAGAACCAATGATGATTGGGTTTTTGAACCATATGAAGGGTCTTTGGTTGACTTATTTGAGAAGATGGTGGAAAAAAACAGATCTAATAATGTTGGCTATAGGAGTAAGGTTTTCAAACATGTTAGAAGAGAAAGGGAAATACCAGATTTCAAAGGAGATGATCTGCAAGCATTCTTTGATTGGGTTTCTGAACTAGAAGTGGAGAACTCTTGAGCAACAACTAGAAAATAGAGGTGATGATCTAATTAGTACATGGGTAGAGATTAAGAGGTGTTTAATAAAAAAATATAAACTTAAATGTTAAAATAAATGTTTTAAAAAACCTATTATCTAAAATTAAAATACATAAACATAAGATAGCATATTCAAATGAGAATTTAAAAATAAAATCAAACATATAAAACATTTTCAAGCATATAAAACCTCTAATCTCTTTTTTCACTCAATTGCTGTACTTCAAGTAGCTAATGTAATGTAAAACATATTACATTCCTGATTCTACGAGCCGCCTTTGTGCCACGCCACTTGAGGCAAGCCCAAACAAGTCCATGTTAGGTGTTAAATTCTTAGTTCTCACACAAAAAATAATGAATTTATAGTTTTAATTGCTTTTTAAGAAAATATTTTATTAGGATGAATGAATGAACAACATTAACAAATAGGGGGTTTCAAAAAAAGCAAAAAAATGTCAAATTTTCAAAAGGCGCACGCTTGGGCTGAGGCGCAAGGCGCATCAGGTGCACGCCTAGGCACACTAGGCGTGCTCCTTTTGAAAGGGCTGCACCTAGGACCTAGGCGAGGCGCTAAAATGCGCCTCGCTTGTGCGCCTAGGCGCGCCTTTTAAATCACTGGATTGTAGTAGATCCTAGTACAGAAGTAAGTGACTTTACATTACAAGTTCAATTAGAACTAATTCAAGAATTACAACCTGACATAGCACAAGTTCCACCAACATCAACAATGGAAGGAGTCCTAGAGTTTGTTAAAGAACCAAGGATAGCAAAACACATAGAGATGGTGATTCCTAAGCTAGAAGTTGAAGGAAAAGTTCCAAATGTTGCAGTTGAGAATTTGGATAAGCGAGGGGAAGATTCATCACAAAGGCTGGTTGATGAATTAAGTGTTTAAGAAACTAATGTTATTCATGATTTAACAAAGATGGTTATGGAAGGCAGTGTTTCAGAAATACATTTCTTCCAAGATCCTTTTCTAGTTATGTGTGTGGCCCCTACTCTACAATCCAAGCATGTAGCTGTGGGAAGTTCTCAGATCTGATAACGCAAAGGAATACTTTGCTAAATCATTGACATCTTATTTTCTTCATCATGGGGTTTACTTCCAATGTACCTATTCGCTTCTGGGGTGATGCTATCCTCACGGCGGTATATCTTATTAATCGGGTTCCTTCCAGGGTCCTCGATATGAGATCTCCTTTTTCCCTTCTACACCCACGTGAGGACTTGTTTTCTATTCCCCTTAAAACATTCGGTTGTACCTGCTCTGTTAAGCTTCTCGGACCCCATCACTCCAAGTTCGAACCCAAAGCCTCCAAATGCATCTTCTTTGGTTATGCACAAACTCAAAAGGGTTATTGCTGCTATGATCCTGTCTTAGGGAGGAAGTTTGTCTCCATGGATGTCACCTTCTTTGAGGAGACACCCTATTATCCTCGGGTTTCTCCTCAGGGGGAGAGCAGTGAGAGTAGGGTTTTGAGTCCTTGTCTTCAGGGGGAGAACGGTGGGAGTGGGGTAGTTCCTTTACGTATTCCATTGGGTGATGAGAGCTGCAATGGTGAGGGGGTCAGAGGGATCAGGAGTTGAGGGGGAGCTGCAATGGTGAGGGTGGTCAGAGGGATCAGGAGTTGAGGGTCTATCACAGGCGGTGTAGGCAGGTTGACCCCGATCATCAGCATTCCAGGCCAGCTCCAATCTCATTTGCAGCTCCAGGTCCAGGTATTACAGTCCCAGGGCTCACAGAGACTTCCTCTATTGTTGCCATTTCACCTCCTACAGATGACCTTGACCTTCCGATTGCTGTCCGTAAAGGGAAACGACATTGTACCACATCTATAGCCCACTGTATTTCCCATTTTTTATCCTATGATCGCCTGTCTCCTACCTACAGGTCCTACCTTAGTTCCATTTCCAACATCCCTATTCCACGAACAGTGCAAGAAGCCCTATCCGTCCTGGAATGGAAAAATGCAATGCAAGTTGGGATGGATGCCCTGTTGAAAAATAACACCTGGGAGGTAGTTGATCTGCCCAAAGGAAAGAAACCAGTTGGATGCAGATGGGTATTTACGGTGAAGCATAATGCAGGTGGATCCATTGAGAGGTATAAAGCTCGGTTAGTTGCAAGAGGGTTTACACAGATTTATGGCATAGATTATTTGGAGACCTTTGCCCCGGTAGCCAAGATGACCACTATTTGAGTCCTATTATCCCTTGTAGCAAGTCACACTTGGCCTTTATACCAAATGGACGTGAAAAATGCTTTTCTGAATGGAGAYCTRCAGGAAGAGGTTTACATGCGTTTGCCTCCTGGATTCTATGATGCAGAAATAGGTAAGAAGATCTACCGGCTCAACAAGACTTTGTATGGTTTGAAACAATCACCTAGGGCTTGGTTTGATAGATTCAGACTAGCACTTGTGAAGTTTGGTTATGTACAAGCCCAGTCAGATCATACTCTATTCATCAAGAGGGTGGAGTCCTCCTTGACACTACTGGCAGTATATGTTGATGATATTGTGGTCACAGGGAATGATAGCCATGAGATCGAGTCCCTTAAACAACTCCTTCAT